AAAGATGAAGCTAAAAAAATAATGTACAATAGGGGTCTCCACAATTTATTAAGCAAAAGTAAAAAAATAAACAAAATCTATCTAACAATGCAGAATCAATTGCGAGGAATGTGTCGTAAAAATCAAAACCAGTTTGATTGATCGATGAAACAAACGCATTAAACTCCTCTGTGTTTTCTCCAGAAATTAAGGCGGTATTGATACTTTCCGTTCTAATTTCCTTGGTCACGGTTCTTTAGATTTCGACAGCTCTTTGCTTTTTACTTGCATAAATATTAGTTTGTGAACTCTAATGTATATATTTCTTACTTCCTTATAATAAGGATTCTAAAAATACATAGTAAAGGCTATCATTACGGAATACACTGCACATATTTTTTGACCATACAACAGTTAATCCTAATTAACTTTTTATTTTACTTAGTACAGGTCATCTTTTGTATTTACCTATAAAATCCAACATTTTTTGTAAATTAGTTTTACAGTTTGAGCTTTCTTTCGAATTATCCATTTATGATTTCTAAATTCGTCCGTAATTTTTGAGATCTTTATTTACGCAGGTTTTAGCAAAGATAAATGACAAATCTATTCTTCTATTTATTGGTTTATTCTGGGCCGGAGTAGCCTGGTTGGTAGGGCGTTGAGCCCTAGTCCAAGAGGTCATGAATTCGATTCCCGCCGGCCGAGGACGGTCGTAAATAGTGGCTAGCGCATGTTAAATCTGTTGGGTCATAAAGTCCTCCATGCTCCCAGATTAAACCATACGTCTGGGGCTACTAAATTGGTTTTCCTTGGTTATTTTATTCTTTTATTTAGTAATACTATTCTTTTGATTAGGTCAAAATTACGATCTGTAGATTAATGAATGGATGTATGAATGGGTCTATCCTATAAACAGGTTGAGACGCATGGATGTGGCAGAAGTCAAATTCTTGGCCGAAAATGGCGCCACTGGAAATCAAGAAGAAGAAGAGCACCTTCTTTGCTTTAGTGGCATACGACAACAATTACAACATGGATTTGTTCGGAAAGTAATTTCGTTTTCATGAAAATTATAGGTAATCTTTTATAGCGAATAAATATTTTATTGAGTCAACTATAGTCTATTCTGGTCTGGTTCAATATCTTTTGTCATCTTTCTTGCGGTAGCTTGATTTCACACGCATAAGGCTTTTGTTGTTCTGTACGGGCAAAAACTGATTTGTTAATTTTTGGCCTCCCTATTTGAAGTAAAGATTTTACCGTCTAAAAAATCTTGTAGAGACTGGAACATAGTTGTCGACAATTCATTTCTCTTTCTCAGCGATGATACGCTTCAAAAAGGGACAACTCTGGAAATGGAATTTTCTTGAAGTTTGAAGAGTAAATTACAGACTTCAACGCGACAGCACAAAATTCTTTCAGCAAGACCATGAAGAACCCATATATCGAGCTTAGAGGTTAACTCTTTGGCTTTTCGAATAATCATGAACAGTCAAATTCCCTAAATTTAAAGTCTCAGCGATTTCACTAGTTGCTATTTGCCGGCAATCAATGCTTTAATTGTGTCTTCCTCAGCTTAAACTGGCTCGGTGCATTCGAAGGCTCCGTCTTAATATGAAATGATGCTTTTTTGCGATTTGTATAACTGCTGTGTGTTTACAACTGTTACTCATGACTGTTAGGTCAAGTTTAGTTTATCTAAAGCTGTCTAGGCTTATTTTGAAAATGGTTCAAAACGTCAATATGGAGAAAAGCCACAGTTTTGTGAAAAGCGTTTGTGGTCTAATTTTTTACTATTTAAAAACTTTTTCCAGTGCTGCATTACTTGGGTTCATAAAAATTTGCAAAAACTAAGAATAAGGCAGTGATTTTGATGATTTTCATCTAGGTGGAAAAATGCAGCAAAATTGCCTATTTTTTTTAAAAAAAAATTTATAACTTGCAAAATACTTAAGTTACTTGTCGGCTCTGAAGCCCAGATAATTCTTCAAGGCAAGGTTATGTATATAGTTTAAAATCATCGCATTGCTTCAAATGTAAAGCTTTTTATTTCCCTTGGCGACTGAACTTCCTAAGACAGCGTTAATCAAAATTTTGCAAACTAGTTTTGGCACTGCCATACTACTAATACATCTTCGCCATGCACATGAGATAATTTTTTTCTTGTTTAAACCACTTCGATAGTAGAAAAGTAAAAATATGCCAAAAATTCTGCTTTTTACATTCCACATTTGAAAGACCACAAACCAAAAAATACTGCGTAGAATCAATTGAACTTTTTCATGAGCAAGTCTTGCTATATCAGCTGTCAAAGCGATTATGCTGCTTTAGTAGGAAGATAGCTTTGAAAAAATATAATTAAGTTCTCTTTTTGAAAAAAAAAAGCGAAATTACTTTTCAAACAATCCAATAAGTACCTGAACCCATCAAAAGTCGGTTTGCTTATAAGTTGTCCTATTTTGTAACTTAATATTCAAACAGTGAATTAGCCTATTAAAAACTGGTCTCCTCGACCAATAAAAAATCACATATGTGGTCACAGTACGGAAAAATATGATCATTGGGTCAAAAATTGCTTTGAATGCTAAGTTCTTTTTTTTTAAAAAATCCGTTTAAGGAACTGTCATACAGTAGGTATTAGCTGCTATATTACATCTAAATACCGTTTCTATAACTGATGTTGTCATAGTAAGTAATTGCTATATTACATCTAAATACCGTTTCTATAACTGATGTTGTCATAGTAAGTAATGTCTGTTAGATTATACCTAAATACCATTTTTATGATTGATGCTGTCATTGAGTTGGTAATAGCTGTTACATTGTACCTAATTACCCTTTTTATGTCAAATGCTATTCATCATGTTGAAGATTTAAGCTGTATATTTTAGCAGGTACCTTTTATAAGTCTAAATTTATAATTATTTCAATAATGGAGTAAAATTTTTTAAAAACCATCTTAACGCTGCTTAAAAACTTAAACATTTTGTGGATGTCAAATTGAAAGACATAATGAGAGATAACGTAAGAGTTAGAAGTAACATTAATGTCCTCGAATTTTTGAAAGAGAAAAAGGGAGGGGGAGCAATGAACTTAATGTACACTGTATTCATCTTATTCTCGAAAAGCCTTTGCTCTCCTAACTCTATACCTTGCTAATGCTTTCCTCTTAGTCAGGAAAATACATCATGCGGAAAACTCAAATTTATTCGTTTTAAATGAACTTTTCCCGAATTCAGGAGAAACTAAAGTCAGCCGGGCTTTTAATTAAAAGCTTAACTCTCACTATTTCCGTCTTGCTGATTCTGATCGGAAAACATTCGCCAGTCATATGTCACGACTTAACTCTTGAGTTCGTAGGCACGCTTAACTTAAGATAGGTCTAAATGTGTCAATACGATGTACTCTGGAAAAAAAAAAATCTGAATAGTTTTTCTTTTAACTCTTTGGAGATCGTATTTTATAGACATTTAGTTCAAACGGTTTCATTGATTTCTAATCGATTATTCCAAAAACGATGATTCGCTTTTTTTGAATAACGTAATTTTATTTCCCTCCTTAATTTACATGCCTATACATCTGGGATTGAGTGGAAAAAAGTTTTAGAAGTAATCTTGTTCGAGGGCTGCTCATCTGGAAAAGCAGAAAAAATTTCGAGCGAACATATTTTTAACCTTTTGAAGTACTTTTGAGTTAAAGTCAACTTTTAAAGAATTTTTATCAGATAAAATATAAATTGTTTTCGAACAAAGCTGTTATATCTTTTCCGCATTTTTTCCAGTTTTGATGTACATAATGAGTTTCGGTTAAAATTGATTGAAACATTAATTAGCTTGTAAGATGCGAGTTTTAGTTAACTGAATGGGTGATAAGAGTGTAAAAAAGATTAAAACCACTGTATATCTACCAATACTAAATTAGAGTAATGTGTACAGTTAATACAAAATGGGATATCCTGTACCAGTGGATGAAATATTTAATCCTTATGACACGATCCCGATTATCTAATTCTGATGTGACCTGAGCCCATTCAATACATCAAATGAATAGCGTATTTTTGATATCGGTGCCGTGGTCTAAGCCTGAGCTGGTTACCATCCTTTCCCTCATATGAACGGGAGAACATTCAAACATTATTCTACATATACACGATATTACTCATTTAAGTATCATATTTCCAAGTTACTTTTCATGACACCCTGCCGTGTACTATACAACCACGACACCTTACTCATTATTCAATTGATCATTTACTTTGTATGCTTATTCATGTTTCATAATCAAATAAATTTAAAACTGAAATTAAAATGTTTTTAATGAATATATTATAGTTGTTTAATGAATGATTTTTATATTTTAATGAATTTTTTGTTAGTGAATGTGCATTTTTCTAATTTGGAAACATTTCATTTTACGCAACCACTGGAGAAAAAAATTCTGGTACAATTACCGTACTGCATGGTAATGGCATTTCTGGTAATAAAAATCATAATTTTGGTAAATAAAATCGAAATATATGGTATTTAAATAATTTATTTGGTAATTTTTCTCTCCATATGGTAAGATTCTGGTTTCTAAAATCAAAGTTCTTACTACCACAAATTTAGTAAAAAACACAAAACAAAAAGGTAAAATTAACCGACTAAAGGTTTCTTACACCATCCTGTAAGGTATCATGATAAAATTACTAAATTTTACCACATTTACCGAATTTTATCACGTATTATAAAACCAAATTTTATTATCGATTTTCCCCAAAATCATTACCGTAGCGGTAAAAAGTACCGAGATTTTTGATGTTCCCATAGAGCCAAAAAGAGGAAAATTTTACCATTTGGTAGTTTTGACCATACTTTTTTTCTCAATACACATTAAACAAATTATGAATTTAAACATTATATATATTACCATGTTTTTCTGAAAGCCTGTATACATTATAGATTTTTTTAATATAGAAATAAACTAACAGTTAAATAAAAATGATTTTCGTAATCTTTTAATAAAGAAACATTTTTTACCATAAATTTTAAGAAGTACTTCTCTTCTATATACCACTCCACTCTCATTCCTTTCCTGAGCATTACAAGCATAGCTTCCTTTGTGTTCTAGAGTTGGGCATTTCAATTCCAATTGCCAAATCCCTTTGTCGGCATTGTCTGTCAAAATGGTTGTATCTGGAAGCTTTGAAGCATTCTCTCCTCGAAATGTCCACCACACGTCTACCATCGACCCTTCCGTGTCTACCCGACATGTCAATGTGACAGCAGAGCAATTGCTTACTACTGGTGGTTCGATGATGTGCTCCAAAATTGAAAGGCATGCTGTAAAAGAAGAAAGAATTGAAAATTATTCTTTATTTAAATACTTTGACTCAATCTTTTTAATAGGAATGAAAGACGTTAACATTCAATACATTATTCTGATAACTGATGGTACTATTTCTGAAAAATAGATAGGTAACTATCTGTTTACATGTACTCTACTAATGCTCGCTAGTCATGAAGGATTGTTTTAAAACATTATTTAAATAATTTCTGATAAATAGTTTTTTATATGTTTTAATACTGTTTCGATTATTGAATTAGTTGTTTAAGACATTGGTAAGCAACGAGGTTTAATTTTAAAAGGAACTGACCTAGAAGCTGTTCAGACCTTAACAAACATTTGATAAAAAAAATATAGTTCATGAAATCAATGAAATTTTTACTGAAAACTCTTTTTATAGAATTACATAACTTAAATGCCGTTCCTAGGTATGTAGCATGGATAGCCAAGCTGTGCAACGTGAGTCACATTGTATTAAAGCTGAGTCTCATATTGAAACATTTTGTTTTATTTTATAACCACCGTTAAATAACCAGTACAGGTTTGAGTTTATGACTATCCATGTTCAACTCTTCAGCCTTGTAATTTTGAACCCAACTTAGAAGACAAAAGAGCTCCTGGTTGCTTACCAATGTCAATCATTGGGAAAAACAAGCCACCGTGGAGGACTTTTTGATGGAACTAAAAGACAATTTGTCATTTGTTATTAACTATAGTCATTGACAGGCATTTGCGTGAGAAAAACTATAAATACCTCCCACGGTTATCCAGAAGGCAAGGAGATTATAATTCAATATTTCGTCTACAGTTTATATTTTACATTTGCACTGCAATCGGCGAGAACAGGGCATACAATTCAAATCAACCATCCATCTCTGGGATTCCAACCTGAGTTTGATTTGGAGGGAAGATCCTCTGAACCACCACAGCATAAATTAAAAAGAAAAGTTTTTTTCCCTTTTTTTTTGAGCTTTGTCAAAATAAGTAAAAACCCGACTCTGCTATTGAATACAGCACCACCGAATGACAAATTCAAAAGTCACATTGTTGTCCAGTTCGTTTGCATAAAAATGTTGTATATTTTTGTGTGAAAATTTTTTTTGAAAATTTTAGTAGAATAGTTTATAAACATGTTTCATTTTTCTTTCTGTTTAATTGACTAAACAGATAAATTGCATAATCATGTTTTTCATATTTTTGTCATTGTAAATAATATTTTTTCTTCTCATAATTGAAAAGATGTTATTTGTAGTAAGGAAAAGGAACAGTCGTACCAACCTAAAGTTCATAAATGTAAAGTTGTCTAAATTTTTTTATTTTGGCTTGCCAAAATTTTCCTTTGGGGGGATGTAATACAAAAATAATAAATACTTTTGTATTAATAAAAGAATTAAAACTCTTTCGGTTTCATAAAATATCTTTGTTAAAGAGTAAGCGTAGAGCTATTCTATTTTGGGAATTCAAGGCTGAAAACATACCATTGAATAATAATTAGATTTATATTTGANATACTAATATCGATATAAAGTATCATATTGAAATATTTGTTAATTATTAAAATTGTACCAATACTAAGCAGTTTTAATATCGATACTGGAAAAGTATTTGTCCCAAAAGGGATATGTACCGCTGAAAATTACTTCAAAGTGGTAAATTTAGACAATAATGAGTTGGCCGCGTGCAAACGGGCATTCAACTAGTTTTATTATAATAAAATTCTTAATAATTCTAGAAATATTTTTACTGGTGCTAACCACTGACAAATCCAAGCTTAAAAAAAAATTTTGAAGAACATTTAATTTTACGTATGAGGAATATTTTTATGGATTATATATATATATATATATATTTATTTATAAAAATAATTTGTACAGGTGGGAAAAAAATAATGGTAAAACTACCGTAGTGTATGTTAATTTCAATTCTGGTATGGAAAATCATAGTTCTGGTTGATAAAACCAAAATATATGATATTTAAACCACTCATTTATTTCCGTTGATAGGATAACGGTGTATCGTTGATTCTGGTTTTCAAAAAAACTATAGTTCTTATTAACACACATTTAGCAAAAAATACAAAACAGAAAAGTAAATTTAACCGAATAAATGGTTGTTATGGCATGTTCTGAGATATCAAGATAAAATTCAGATTATAAAACCATATTTTATTGTTACATTTACCGAAATCATTAACAATCGCTTCGATAAAAATTACTTAGCTTTTTGGCGAAATTTGAACTAAAAATTATAGTATTTGATTTTTTTTAGCGGAAAATTTAAAGTGAACTTTTATACAAAAATATTAATGGAAAAACGTTATGCATAGCTGGTTTAAGTCATAAATATGAAAAAAGGGGTAAATTTTTTTTTTTAATAAAATATGTTTCTTTATAAGAAAAACATTGAAGGGATACAAACAAACAGTTTTATCAATGTTTCAAAAAGAAAAATAGAATAGTAACTATATATTAAGCGCTAACTTGACATCTCCTTTTACTTTTACAATACTCGCTCTCTTACACTATTTATCGCTTTAAGGAATACACACATCATTAATTAAATATCAACTTAAAGTGGCAACCACTTTCTTAGCTGAATTAAATACCTTAATGAAGACAGAATACCACCAGCTGGGGTTTCATGTCAAAGAAGAAGACAGAATTATATATCAGTTTCTATTGTGACCTAACAACACAAGAAAATGTTAAGTCTTAAATCGAAGAATTCCACACAACAAGTGAAGATAACTAAGCAATTGGAAGAACAGAGAACTGAGGCAAAAGGATGAATTTCTCATTAGCAAAAGTTCGTATTTCATTAGTTCTCGTGGGATGAAACAGCGACTAATTTCTAAAATACTTTATGATCAAACTCATTGAGTATGGTTGGTTTATACTTGTAAAGGAGACGATCTTTCGGGAATTAATCGAGGTATCAGCTAATTTTCTAGTCGATTGCTTTTATCAGTTGCCCCATTCGGGAGATCGCGAAACATTAAACTTGATAAGAAAAAGCATTTCGGCTATGCTTATTGTATGGTTCAGATTTTAAAAAGTAAATAGTGAAATTTTGAATCGTTATTTGCACTGTAAAAGTATTAAAAAATAATATGTTTCAGAAATTGAGATGAAAACATAATAATTAGAACAAATACAATATATTTGCATTCACTGTTAGAAATTTCTCAGAAACAACGGTTAAATAACAATTTATTGAATGGTTATTTTACCACATTTAAGCAAAACAGTCAAATAACCATAAATAAAATGGTAATCAAACTGTTAAGTTTGAGAAAAACTGTTTATTAACTGCTTTCACCCAATACGGTTAAACAACCAGAATTTTATCGCACCAACTAGAACGACCTATTGAAGCTACTTAGTTCTTTGCAAATGCTTACATATCATAGCCGAATGGGCTTATCTGCCAATCTCATGACGACCAGCAAAACTAGAAATCGACATCATTATAATTTCCTCCATTAAGAATTTCCAGTGTCCGGCTCTCTCCAATGCCCATTACCTAACGAAAAGTCGAGCTTCTATGTCTAGTTAAATAATTTTTGTTAAAGTTTTTGGAAAAATGCTAGTTGTAAATGGTTAAAAAACCGTATAGTTTTGTATTCATGGTTTTATAACCATACTTTTTGTAAATGGTTTCAAAACCATGAAGGAAAAAATGTTCTTCACAGTAAACTTTACGGTTAATTGGATGGACAGACAGCTGCCAGTTATTTTACCATAATTTCAGAATAAAATTTTTTACAGTGTTTAAAATGAAATACTTTTTTTTAAATAATCGCAATATTATCGCATTCTAGTTTTTTTGTTGATAAAAGTCGTTGTTATCTTAAGCTTGTTAAACGTTTAACAAGCTAAACTTTTAACTTGTCTTAAATGTTTTTTTCCCATATAAATGTAAGATATGAAGTTTCGAAGAACATTAAGAGCTTTTAGTTCATATGCACGCATTTGGCATAAAACAAAATAATTTCGTGATCCGTGAAGCTAGATATTTTGGGATAATTTATCTCACAGAAATTTATTTTGGGATAATTTATCTCACAGAAATTTATTTTGAGATAATTTATCACACAGAAATTCATGTTTAAAATCAATAAATATTCAGTAAACGAAATTAATCAAGGGAAGAAGCTTGTTGATTATCAAATACATAAAAGCATAATCTATTATGGGCAACTCAAGTATCATTTAGAAGAAAAGAATTATCTAGAGAACCTAATATGAAAGATTAAGTACAATAGATGATATATACTCATAATAAAGACTTAAGTTTAGATAAGCTGATCATTATCAGAGATTAGTCTGCTGAGTTTCTACTTCTATAAAGATTGAAAACATTAAGGATAATTCAAACGCTATTTCAAAATTAATTTTAATCGCTTATTCAGAAATCAGCATTATTTTATAAGTTAATATAATATTCTTATGTGATAAATTGATAATAAAGTGGAATAAATATTTTTTTTCCAGCTGAACTCTAAATAGTTTGATCATTAACAGGTATAGCATTGCAGAGATGTTGAGGACTTCTTTTAGGAAATTATTCTACAAATTAAGGTATATCACACAATAAGAAACACGGAATGTTTCGCCACAAAAATATTTCAGTTTTATTCAGTTACTTAAATCATATGTATTATAACCAGAACAAATCCATATTAGATTTGCAGTTGATCGTATATTCATATCCATAGTTTTGTAATTTTGAACTTGAGCAAAAAAAAAAAAAAAAACAGAAAAAAAACNAAAAAAAAAAAAAAAAAAAAAAAAAAAAAAAAAAAAAAAAAAAAAACAGCAACAAGGAAATCTAAGAAAATTCTTTGAAAAATGCCTCTGTACAAAACCGTTTTCATGGAGAAATTTTAACTGTTCCTTGCGTTTCAAGGAGAGGAAAATTCCAAACCTCACAAGCTTGGCGGCAAACACGTTCTAGTCAATGATCTGTGTACCATTCAGGGTCTTTTACGCCAGCATTATAGTCAGTTCAAGCTGTAGCAG